GAATCCCAAAATCCAATGGAACTGATGGCCCGTGATTAATAAGGTAAGCTGCCGTATGCACCGCATCCGCCCAAGATGTCTTAGGCAGACCTGCATGTAATCGCATCCTCCTGGCACGCTCCGTCAAGGTTCTGTTCATCCTCTCTGCAATGCCGTTTTGCTGCGGCGTCCCTGGAGTAGTCCTCTCTAACCGAATATCATTCGTATCACAGAACCTCTTGAACTCCTCCAGCTAGTATTCTCCACCATTGTCTGATCTCAGACACTTCACCTTTAGATCTGTCTCGTTCTCCACTATGGCCTTCCACTTCTTGAAGACTCCGAACACCTCTGACTTGTGCTTCATAAAGTAGACCCACACCTTCCTCGAGTGATCGTCGATGAAGGTGACATAGTATCTTGAACCGCCAAAAGAAGACACACTGGCTGGACCCCATACATCTGTATGAATCAACTCTAGCTTCCAACAATATTACAAGGCTCGTTATTCCCCAAATATACTTTTCCAAAGTCCCCTGCTACATAATTCTAAAAGAACTTCCTGTTAGCAGTGGCGTGGAAAGAGGCTTCTGAGTCGATGACCCAAGAATCCGAATCGCTGTCCATAGTAAGGATCAAGGCATCTTGCACGATATGAGCCTCCTGCTCATCTGCATCCTTCTTTGGACTTTTGCAGACTGAAGACATATGGCCCTCCTGACCGCAGTTCCAACACTTTCCTTTATTAGGCCTAACCTTCGAGTTTGATCTTTTCTTCGACTTCGGCCGATTCCTATTCTGGTTCCCTTTCTTCTGGCTTCTGCCTCTTTGCTCGAAATTTAGGGGTGAACCTGAACCTTCTGATTCGGACGATTTCCTTCTAACCTCCTCGGATAGAATCATGCTAACCACCTCACTCAACTTCAACTTTTCCTTCCCCGCCAAATTGCTTATTGCCATCACACAACCTGCCCAACTATCCGGCAATTACGATAGTAACATTAAGGCCTGCACTTTGTCATCAAACATGATGTCTACGGAGATAAGTTGATCAACAATCGTGTTGAACTCGCTGAGATGCATCGTGAAGGACCGTCCTTCTGTCATCTTTAGGTTGAAAAGAGTCTTGACGAGATGCACCTTGTTTGCTGCCGACAGTTGCTCGTACATCTTCGCGAGCGCTTCCATAAGCCCCACCGTCGTCTTCTCCTTCAAGATATTGTGGGCTACTGATTTGGCGAGTGACAACCGGATTTGCCCTAGAGCCTTCCTATCCAGTATCTCCCAATCACCATCTGACTCCTCTTTCTTCTTTCCCTTTTCCTTGCCCATCAGCGGGCGATACAAGTCCTTCTGGTACAGATAGTCCTCCATCTGTGACTTCCAGTAGGCGAAGTCTGAGCCGTCAAACTTCTCGATCTTTGATTTGATTTCCTCTGCCATGGCTTTCACACAAATTTCTAAACGAAGCTCTGATACCAGTTGTTGGGGATTCGAAACAATCAAATCGAACCCTTGCCCTTCTGGACCTTATGTTGAAAGTAGGAAAGTAGGAAAATTTATCACAAATAAAGATCAAAACTTACAAGAATAATAAAGGAGACGAACACACAGATTTAACGAGGTTCGACAACATGCCTACGTCCTCGGGAGCCACACCACACAATTCCTTTATTGATTGAAGAAATACAAGCTCTCAAACTAGGGTTTTATCTCTCTAAGATTCTCTCTCTTTTTCTGCCGTCAAAAGCTCTCTTTTTCATGTTCTACAAACCCTAAAACGTTTAGGTATATATATATATATATATAGAATCCTGAAAGAAACGGAATCCAAAACAGTTTAGGAAACTGTCAGATTGCGTCGCGGTCGACCGTGGCGGTCACGCCACAGACTCGCGGTCGACTGTGGATCTGTCTGGCTGTTTTTCTTCATCGTTTTGATTCCAACTTGGCTTCAACTTTGGGTCTACACTTTAGACTAACAAGTCTTGATATAGAATCTTTCTTATGTGTAAGTATATATTAATATGTCCTATTTTGAAAAGGAAAAAAATGATCATGAGATCTGACATGTTATCTATAGTGTTTTTGAGAAGCTGACAAGCTTACATGTAAAATGCTTTGATTTCTTAAAATCAGGCATCGGTCTGGAGTGCTATTTTTCAATATATGTAGGACTCACTTCAATCTGAAATGTGTAGTATCTGCTCTATAACGGTCTAACCTTCTTTTCGTAGAACAGACTTATTATGTATTTCATGATGAGCTAATTTGGAAACTATATCAAATGCAGAGCTTGGTGCATGACCTTGTACATTCTATTTTTCAGATAAATTACATGGACTCGATATAGCATAAGGATCCGTTATTTTCTACTAATTTTACAAATTTCCCTATATTCTCTCTCGTCGTGGTGCTCATGCCTCTCTTGGATATTTAGCTTAAGAACCGATAGAGTATGAAGGCAGGAGTCACTTTTTCGAGACATGGAGTTAAAAATATTGACCTCTGTCTTCCAGCTATTTGAAACCTTTGACATGGAACATATCATTTGTCAATTATATACATGTCAACCCTTTTCTTCCAAGCCTGCATCAGTTAACAAACAATGTCAATAGATTCTTACGTTATGCATATTGCTCGTCATATACTCTTAAAATGGCCTTACCCATATGGTGGCAGTCGCACTCAAAGTGGCCTTACCCAACGGTCAGCTATTTTTTATTTACCATTTGTACTATATTGTTTAGGTTTATGCTGCTTTAATACACCATATGGTGGCTATATGTTCTTGACTTAAAATTAAACGGTTGCTGCTACCTCAGTGATAAAGAGATGAGGTTAGTGATAGCTCGACCCGGGGTCTCATGTTCAAGACTGGACCGTGACCTTTTTTAACAAAAAGAAGATTCTTGCAGTTTCATAGATGATTTTCTACTAATTTCACATCCATATCAGTGGTTAATTTTTTAGTTTGACCTTTGTTTTGATACTTGTTGTAATAGTAAATTGATAGTTGTCATCATTTAATTTTGTCATTAAATAGGATAACTAAAAGGGTATTGATTTACTTTAGATATCATGCTTTTGTACTGTTCAATTATGAAAACTGTGATAGACATTTAATGATATAAAACTTTCTTCCCTGACTCAACTATTATGCTTGATAATTTTCATTTTTCACTTTTATCATCAGGTGGAGAGAGGAAACACTGCTTACTTAAGCGGGCTACGGGAGAAGTACTTTGGTATGTAGCATCTTTTGAGTCAAAGGCCAAGGAAATATGGCTTGTATTTCAGAATGAAGGACTGTCATTGTCGAAACTGATGTATACTGCAAAAAAATAAAAAAAAGTCACTAGTGATGGAAGAAAAATAAGAAACATTCAGGTACTCCGTCCCTCAACTTGGTGGCACTGGTTGAGGACATCAGAGGAAGGAGAGAAAGAAAAGCAAAATCTCATAAGACAGCTAGTATGTTGATCATCTTCGTTTTTAAAAATTGTTGTATTTTTTAAATCTTTCTTTTTAGTTTTTTAAATCTCAAAAGGCATCAGACCTTGATATTTGTGACATTTGGATTGGGAAAATTTTGAATGTAGTGTATGGATGTATGCGAGATACTAGATATGGAAAGTGCACGAAATTTGTGAAATTTGAATGTACGCGAGATGGTTGTGGAGATTGTTGTGAAATTTGGATTGCATATATTTCGAATGTAGTGCAGGGATTGTATATAGGAAATCTTGCATGAAATCAATATATTTTTTTTGGTGATTATATAACATCCCTGACGGCATTCCCGTCGGGGATGTGCAAAACATCCCTGACGGGCTTGCCGTCAGGGATGTTTATCCCTGACGGCAAGCCCGTCAGGGATGTTTTGCACATCCCCGACGGGAATGCCGTCAGGGATGTTATATAATCACCAAAAAAAATATTTTGATTTTATGCAAAATTTACTGTATACAATCCCTACACTACATTCGAAATATATGCAATCCAAATTTCACAACAATCTCCACAACCATCTCGCGTACATTCAAATTTCACAAATTTCGTGCACTTTCCATATCTAGTATCTCGCATACATCCATACACTACATTCAAAATTTTTACAATCAAAATTTCACAAACATTTAAAGAAACTTGCATAAATTCAAATTTCACATTTCATAACTAATATCTCACATATACATCTCATAAAAGATCTATATCCACATGTATAACTCAATAATCAACTTTAAAAACATACATATTTCATACATCAAGAATGCAGTTCAGCAAGGTCCAACTCCAGGTAGGACGAGTATAATCTTTCCTTCTGAGGCTGATTTTCGATAACAAAATAAGTTATCAGCCAATTCTAGGATGTGATATGTGTACCTAAGTTAGAGAGGAAATTACGTCTACCTCACTATAATCAACAAACATCTTGTTTGCCCGCAGATATTCCTCGATCATAGCCACCTACAGAATAAAAGACAGTTAATTAGATGACAAACAGGTCATTTCAGAAATTCTGAGTTCAAAGGGATTTGTTGACAGGATTACGACAAGACGAACCTAGAAGAATTTAGACTGAAAGGGAAAACTTGTCAATTATTCTACCTAATGACAGATGTCTCACCACAAGATTCACAACCACTCAATTATCACCATGCAGCAGCCTGCTGATTTGCATCAATGAAACTCTAAACATGCTCTAAATGTAAAAGTAAATTATGGGGGAACGCAACAATCTATTGGGTTCGAATGCAAAAATGTGCTCAAACCATTTAAACATGCAAGTGACTCACTTTGGTGTAAAAGTAGCAACGAAAATAAGATGACAGGTTGTGAACAATGTTGTATACCACGGAATTTGAGACTATACATGTGTCTGTTATGTGTATACATGCTTTTGGCACAAAAAAAATGGATGCATGCTGCCACTTATGCCTCGGAGATAAATATACAGCAGCAAAGGATGAAAATAGTGCGACAGATGAAAATGGATGGACCAGCTTAAAATTTTAGAACTCAAATTCAAGCTAGTCAGTTCTGGAAGAACACATCAACAGAAAAGGCCCTGGAATGTTCTGGAAATATTAAGTTCCACATGCTTGTTATTTTACTTTATCATATAATTTTTATTATTATAAACATTTCACATATATTATAATTTTTATTTTGCAGTCCGTGAAGAATTCTTGTAGTAAGTTAGTAACAGGTTACGTTTGATTATGTCATATGCAAATATACATAAGTGGCCTTGTAGTAAAAGGTTAGGTTTGGTTATTGTCATATGCAAATATAAATTAAGAGGCCTGGTACTAAATGGTTAGGTTTGATTATTGTCATATGCAATTATACGTTTTCTCATCTTTTAATATACTTAAGAGGGACAAAAAATCATTGCATCTATCTGTCTGGAATAATATTTCATCGGACATAAATGTTAGAACAACGACCATTCTGTCAAGTTCAAAATTTTGCTGATATCCATCTCAAGCCATACCAAAGACCACTTCAGTTCTATTGCGAGCGTTCAATATTTTTACCTGTATACTTAAGCAACAATATTTTAACACATTACCATTTCCATCTAGTAAACATTTGAATACTCCCTTACTAGTTACAATTATCAATGAGTTTTTCCGTGGATGGATGGTCTTACAACTCATATTAAAAGTTAAAACTTCTGAAATTTGGCATGTCTAACTTTAAATTTGGCATGTCCAACTCTTCCCTGCACATTGATGCTTCCATTCTTGTGCCTAGCTAATATATGGATTTGAATAAGAGTTTATGCTATGGATACAATATATCGCAATAACAATGAAGGGTTGATGCTATGGATACAATTTATATCAATGAAGGGTTGATCCTGTGGATATAAAGCTAAAATCAGGCACCAAAGGTTCAAAGTTAAGCCTAGAAGAAATTTTAATACTTTGGGATGAAAATGAAGTACCATTGGAGTTCTTTGTGAATCCGAAAGGCCAAGGGTTACTCTTATTTGGTCGATCCTAGCACGCTTCTCTTTTCGACGCAGATTCTTCTTCTCACCTTTTAAAATTGAAACAACACTTTCTGCGTCTAGAGTCTTTTCAACTTCATCCTCAGACTGTGAAAAAGAATAAGAACATTACTAGATATGACTGTAATAAGAATGTGTTTTGGCAAAAGCAAACTGCTATTATCAGTTATAAGAATGTGTGCGCTAGTAAAATTAATAAGAAATTGGAAATTTCATTCTTTAAGTGTAATTTCTTTTTGGTTCATACTTCTTGGAAAGATGGTGACTTGATGGCAAGACATAAATCGTAACACAAGCAGGCCACTCCAGAGATATAACCTCCAGACACTTGATATAGAAGAAGCATTAAAATTGAGCCATGTAAATGAAGTTGCCTTTGTAGATGAAAATTGATAAATGCTGTTTTATAGCAAGAGGAAATAGAGGTACATTAACTTTCATGAAAGAGGATGACAATTTACTTACAGACAAACAACACATATAAGAATGTAGTAACGGCAAAGCATATTGTGGAAAGCAGTAGACCCCCATTTAAGGAAACCAAATCGCTCCTTGTTCCTCTGGAACTCAAGTTCCATGTTTGCCTGAACTGCATTTTCAGATCTTGCCACATCTACCTGCACAGAGTGGTCAATCACAAGATCTACTGGAACCTGCAAGAAAAAAGAACAATGCAAAAGAAGTGAAGCAGCAACCAAAGCAGAAGTTTAACAACAAAAATAAAAGAAAAACTCAATATCAAGCAGCAATATACAATTAGAATAGTTGCAATAAGGATTTTCCGCTAGATATTTTCAGTAAGTGATTGCGAAAAATCATTACAATAATAAGAAAATCAACCATTCCAGTGAAGCAAGAATACCAAGAGTACAAATTAAGCATACTGGAGTTAATTAAAACTTAGCCCCCTGAGGTATCTGTACCATGAATTTAAAGTAAATGAAACATTGTACCCAAGCAACTAGTAACAAGCCAACATGAAGGTTAGAGATATCATTACCAATGGATTGATCTTATTAGAATCACTTCCTAGCTTGTTCATAGCATCTCGCATACAGGCCAGATCGACAACAGATGGCACACCAGTAAAATCCTGCCAACAACAGAAAAAATGTCAATAAGCAGAGTGCGAAGAAAATGAGGGTATCATCTGTATTCTGTGTGATAAACCTGCAGAAGAACACGTGTAGGCTTAAATGGAATCTCAACTTGCTTTGGGGAGGTATTCTCCCAGTCAATAATCTTGTCGACATCATTCTTTATGACCTGGAAGTTATCAAAGTTCCGGATGGCTGACTCAAGAAGAATCCTAATAGAATACGGTAGCTTGTCTGCACCAAAAAAAAAGGTAAAAACTTCTTTCAAATAAAAATTAAGACAAAAATTCTATGACAGGTTAATCGCCTATTCTATGACTGGATTAAGACAAAAATTCACTCTCCAATGGCTGTAAATAAAAATTAAAAGTTTAGAATATGGAGATAAAGGCTGGGAAACCATATCTGTGATCTGTGATATCAGGCATGTGCAAGTGCATATGCAACATATCATAATCAATACTCAGAAAGAATGCAGAGAAGGGGGAAGATGGAACTACCTTTGAACATTTTTCACTGTAAAACCAATTTCAAATTACACATTTATACCTCAGAATTATAGATAAGCAATTTTCAATTATGAGTTGCTATCATTTAATAATCAAATTCTTTGGAAAAATGAAAGTATCTCTGTAACCAAATAAAAATAACTTCTCAGTTAATAAAACGAACGAAAAGCTTGCGATGAACAAGATCGGAGCTTGACGGGCTACCCGTCAGCCATGTTCATATCCCGTCAGCGATGTTTACGGTATCGATAAACTTGTGACGGCAACATTTCTGACGGTTAATCCCGTCAGTGATATAAACATCGCTGACGGCATTGTCCCGTTAGTGATGTTGCCGTCAACGAAACCTATTTTTTCAATAGTGACTTTCTCAAGGATTTGCAAAGCATGATCCTGTTATGGATTTCAAATTCTATCATAAAAGTACTCTCTATTGATTCAAGACAATTGTCTTGGTAGGATGATTATAAGCTACGTCTAGTGTAAGCCAGAGTTGTAAAATGAGATTGGTTTAAGATATGTCCCTTTTTAACATTTCAAATTCTCTGTGTGCAGTTTTACTTAATATCATTTGTTGGGGAAAAAACAAAACCGGCCATGTTTTTTGTTTTATTTTTCCTCGCTTGTCATAGAAAGGGATGTTTATTTTTCCTCAAATATTCTATCATAAAATTTAAGCTTGAATTTTCTCTAATCCTTATTCTTAATAATTTACAATCTTCAAAATATTCTATCATAAAATTTAAGCTTGAATTTTCTCTAATCCTTATTCTTAATAATTTACAATCTTCAAACCGTACAGTACCTTGTGTTGTTAACTCCTTGGTCAATTCAGTTTTGCCTTATCATAGGTTCTGATCAGCAAGTTTTTTCATATCTCGATCCAGCTCCCTCTACCACCATCATAAATTCCTAACGTTGTTTAATTTTATTGGGGTGACAGATTCCTCGGCCCCTATATTAATCCATGAGCATTATAAACCTTTTCTTTTTGATATTCAGTATTGCACTTCATCCTGTTCTTGTTTCAAAATAAGACTGTCATGAGTACTTGGTAAAATGAAGAAAATCAAGTATTGCACTTGATTCTGTTCTTGGTGTTTCTGCACTCAAGCATACAATTATTTTTAGTAAAATTATATAGTAACTTTTTAGTCCCTTGCTTGGAAATTTAGCATTTATCTTTATTTACCCTTGCATGTGTTTATTTAGTCGTTATGCACCCTTGGCAGTTAGGTTTGGAATAGGATGTAGCATGTGATATCTAGTGTTTATGGTTATGTATGGAGGTGATATATTCTGCATTTCATGGAAGGAGGAGATATATCCTAACCCATTCTGGCTCTAACTAGCAGATATTACTGGTATTTACTGATGATGACAAAAATATATATACCTTAGGTTTGTTGGCGCATGTGGTTAAATCTGGAATAATACAGATATAAAGCAGCAAATAACTGAAAGAAAGCTGAAGTACAGTAATTTAAAATTTTCTAACTCAGCTGGTGTGCGTTTGTAGAACGTTGTGCTTAAAGCATTATTTGGCCTACTCCGGTGCAAGGATCCCAAGGCCAAATTGCTTTCAGGAACAGCAGTCCAGTACTCTGGTGTGCACCGACCCAGTACTGTCAAAATCTCATCGATCTATAAGGCAAAGATCTCCTCGATCTATCAGGCAAAAGATCTCCTCGATCTATCAGGCAAAGATCTCCTCGATCTATCAGGCAAAAGATCTCCACGATCTATCAGACCTTCTCGGTCTAGGCACTGTTCCTACGAGCACTAGCTATTCTACAATATATATATCTATATATATTAATTGTTGTTTTTGGAATGAATTTTCCTTAAGAATTTGTGGTCTATTTATAGCGTTTGGGGAAATACTATATACTAATAAAATAATATTATTTACTATTCATGTGGGACCCACGCCCAAATTTTTCTTGTGGTGGGGCCCTCCACTTTTTCTTTTTTTTCAACAAAATTTTGGCAAGTTTGTCATCTTGTGTTTCTTTTCAAAAATGGCTGCATGCACATTTTTCTTAAGGTTAAAAAATTATTTTATAATCCAACAATCCCCCACAAATTTTTTAAACTAGTGTTGTGTAACGGTGCCGTTGTTTCAATCGTTGTGCATAAGGAAGATGTCGCAAGGACTTGAATCCCCTTTAGACCAACTGAATAAAAGATAGATGCATGGTGTCATAGAGACTTGAACCAGCACTTGTCTAAAAATCCAGCGATCACACAAGATCAAACTTATCTGTGGTAGTTTTCACTTTGAACCACACTTGCCTTTGCCTATGCCTTTGCCTTGCCTTTGTCTTTGCACATTTATGGCCATGTGCATGTCCTGATTTCTGTTAGGGCTCTAGGTATCTTTCCACAAGACACCATAGGAGACGGCCAAATCTCCACCCATGCATAGGTGAGTTCTTTAGGCATGTTTCCTATCAAACATCACGTATCTGAAATGCTTTGAACTCATTAAGGCATAAGAGCCATCCTCTCTCATGATAGGATTCTAGGTGAAAAGATCAAAGTTTTACTCGGGTAGTTTAGCAAGGTAAGGATAGTATTAGAGGTTGATCAAAGATCAATTAGGTACCCTGATGCGGCATAATTATGTACCAAAATTGCAAGTGCACAATTGATCAAGTTATAGTATAAAAAGTTATCGATCCTACGAGGAAGGTGATTTTAAGAGATTTTTAGAATAGGTTCTTATGTTGTGTGCGTGACAAAATAGGATTAAAGAATAAGTGTGGTTGTGATGAGTGATTGTTGTGAATATATGCAAGAGACAATGAATTGAATTTTAGAGAAAAAAAAATAAGAATCAAAGAATAAATGAATTCACAAGGCAAGAAAGAAGAATGAATAAAATCAAGAAATAAAAAAGAATTCAAGAAAGTTAAGATGGATGATTCAATTTAGATATGAGAAATCTAGAATTTAATCCACTAGCTAATCTCAATTACAAAATACAAACTATTCTCTTTTTAACATATTTCAACTTAGATTTATTAAGCATAGACTATCAAACCATTTAAGGAAAGTATAACCTATCAAATTATCATCTAAATTAAAATTACTATTCATGATAAGAACGACAACAAGATAGTAATCCTAGAATTCATAAGCATAACCTATCAAACCATTTAAGATAAGCATAGATTATCAAATTCTTCTTCTACCGATTAGTTTTCTATTTGATTATCCTAAACATGAACATTTTAAGTGAAAGAGAATAATTTGCATAGTATAAAAGAAATTTAGACTAGCATCATACAATTCTAAGATTCCTACAAAAATTAATTTCACATCTTAGAAAGCAAGAAGAAAAAGAACTAATTACAAAAATAAAAAGAAAGGAAAAATCTAAACTATGAACAAGAATTAAATCTATCTACAAAGAAAATAAAAATTTAAACTACAAAAATAAATTATAAAAATTAATTACAAGAAAATAAATCTACTCTACAAAGAAAATAAAAATCTAAACTAGAAAAAATAAATTGCAAAAATTAATTACAAGTAAATAAATCTACTCTACAAAGAAAATAAAAATCTAAACTAAAAAAATAAATTGCAAAAATTAATTACAAGAAAATAAATCTACTCTACAAAGTAAATAAAAATATAAACTAAAAAATAAATAAATTGCAAAAATTAATTACAAGAAAATAAATCTACTCTACAAAGAAAATAAAAATCTAAACTAAAAAAATAAATTGCAAAAATTAATTATAAGAAAATAAATCTACTCTACAAAGTAAAGTGCAAAAAGAAATAAAAAGACAAGAAAATAAATCTACACTATAAACATGAATGTAAATCTAACTAATAAGCAATAATAAAGAAATTACTAAAAAGAAATAAAAGAGAAAAGAAATGCAAACCTTCAAATTGCTCTTCATCTCCATCCTCATCATTCAACAAAGAGGAGAAAGAACAAAATTAAAGGGGAAAAAATTATTATTATTAATTGCAACTAAAGTTATAATTTTTGGAATGCCTTCTCAATTAAGAGTAGCCCTCCTCTCCAAAAATAGAGTTTAAAAATTTTTTTCACTCCTCTCTAACCCCTCACCCTCTACCCCTATTTATAGTAATCTTCAATGAATAGGAGCCATTGGATTTGTCTTGAGTCCCAAGCACAATCTCCACCTTTGATTTATTTGATTTTCAAAAGAAATTGAAAATCTAATTTGTAGCAGTCCAAAGTCCATTTTCATTCCAAGTCCATATGTCAGGTCCGGTCCATTTCATGTTAAAACCCTGCAGCAAATCAAAGTCAGCCCATTCATGTGATTAAAATCCGGCCATTCATGTTAAAACCCTGCAGCAAATCAAAGTCAGCCCATTCATGTGGTTAAAATCCAAAACAAATCCGGCCCACTCATTCATTTAATTTTCAATCAAAATCTCCGGCCCATTCATGATTCTCTTGTGAAAAAAAAATCAAAACTGCAACCTTGGTTCCGGTCCACTGCAGCAGCTAGTGATTTTCGCATAAAAGTCCAATTCATTTTTAAGCAACCAAGTCCAAATCCGGTTCCTTGCACACATGTGATTTTCAAAAATTAATTCTCTTATTTTTTTTCATTTACTCAAGGGTCTTTGTTGAGAGATGGGATTTTTGGGATTTATTCTTTATTAACCTGCAATTAAAGATAAAAGCAATTATTAGTGCTATATTTATTCATATAACATAGATAATGAGGGTATAAAATTAAAATAAAATGTGATTATCAAATACCCCCACACCTAAACTTTTGCTAGTCCTCTAGCAAAGAAAATAAAAAGAAAATCCTAACTCACTTTCGCAGGAATCGCGGTTGTATTTAGCGCATACAACAAGCCTTTAAACCCCTAGGTTACCCTAGTGGACGAGTTGTAGTCTCGTGAGGGTTTGCAGTGAATATACCCACAAAATTCGGTCAACTTGCCAAGTTAAATAAGTCAGTAAATAACAGATTTTCCTTGATATATTTAAACATTCTAATTGAAGCTAGTTAATAATCAAGAAAACGTTTTTATATACAACTCCAATGTAAATCCCTTAGAAAATCTTTTTCATTATAGCAATACAAAACCAAGTCAAATCTTAGAAATTTAATTAAAAAGTTTTGAAAAGAACATGCTAACTCTTTGTTTTAAATATCTTTCAAGTCTCTTGATCAAAA